TCGTATGGGAGTCAGCGAGCCAAAAGATAGCCAAGTGTATCGCTTTGAGAGAGTACTGTGTAGATTGACAATAACAACAAATTGCATTTATATACCGCCTTTTACGTCAGGAGATGACCAAGATTAGTAAGAATGTTACCAGCGATGAGTGAATCAAGAAACATTGGTGAGGTTGCAGCTTTTATTTCTAGAGTAGAGAAGATTGAGAGGAGACGGGAGAGTGGTGTTTAAGATTATAAAAGGATTTGATAAGGTGCATGGTAATAAGCTGTTTTCACTTGTCCATAACTAGACAACATAAATATGAGAGAGCTAGTGGTTGCCCTAATGGGAAGTTTAGGAGGAACATCTTCATGCAGTGGGTGGTGAAAATGTGGAACTGCTGGAAGCTGTGGTTGAAGCAAAAAGCATCAATGTATTTAGAGAAAGTGTGATGCATACATTAGGGAGAAGGGAACAGAGGGGAATAGTAGAGGGACATAGGGGTGGGGGCTTGTGTGGATTATTAATATTGTCAGGGACTAGTTGGACTAAATTGCCTGTTTCTATGTCGTATCACTGTTTACTTTATGTAACTTCAAATGCCTCAATATAGAGAAGTAACTTCCCCTTGCATACTGCAGTGTGAAAGTTTGTCAACAGTTTCTCCCAGGGACCCATCTCTTCTGTAAAGAACAACTTCTAGATGCACTTTTAGTAGGCATATTTTTGTGTGGCAAATAACACTCCCGCACAACTTTACACTCATCCGATGAACAAACTGACGCAGTTACCTACTAAGATAATAGATAACAAATGTTTGTAACATTTTGGGACATCTCGAAGGCATTATAAGGATGTATATCAAATGCAAGTTTTTTTTTTATTTTCCTACTTTTCTTTCAAAAACACCAGTTGTTTAAATAACCAAGGACATTTGCACTGATTTTGCATGTTCACTTACCCAAATTCTACAAGCAAAATGTTGTAATCTTTACCCTAATGTTTGCTAGGAATCTGTTTTATTTCATATATGTATCTATATAATGATCTGGATTTGGGAATCAAGGGAACATAAAATTGAGGGCATTGGAGAAGATGTGGACTCTTTGTTCATTCATTCAGTTGATAATGCATTAATAAGATGTTTCTTTGAGCTCCATAAAGGGACTTCGCTAGTTGATTTCACAGTCACATGCACCACCATCACTCACAGGGAGTTTTTCTTAACACAGAGGATGGTAGGATTATGGAATTCTCTGTCGCAAGCCCACTAAATCCAAAATTTGTTTTCTAAAGGGAATTAGATGTTTGAAAATGTCAAAGTGTTTTTTTCAGGTGGACTGGGTGTCTCATACATGTGGAATCCCATCACCGTATTTAAGAGGATCCCAACCAATCTGACATGCATGCCACCTACACATGGGAATTTCTGTTCTGGAATGGTCACCGGTGCCCTCTGTCTCCCACATCTGCCTCCATCTTTAAATCTTGCCTAAAAACCTACCCCTTTGACTCCACCTACCGTCATAACCCCCTGCCTCCCTCACTTGCTCAAGGTCCGACATCAACCCAGTGAAGCTCTCCATGACGTTACCCTACATAAAAGATCACAACTTAAATGCAAGTTTTAGTTATTGCATTTGGCTGTGCTGTGCCTGACTCTGAGTGAATGTATGATATTGACAGAAGGAATAAATGGGTGTCCAAAAACTGAAATACATGTGAATCTCTGGTATGGTAAAATTCAGTCATTTAAATGACTCAGAATGCCATTGTTGCCTTGTGTGTCATTGAGCCAGAATGACAGCATACCTAGTTGAATATTTCACAATCATGTTACTTTTATATAACCATGAGGCGTGTGAATGGAAACCAGAAATAATGCTTAGTAAATGAAATTCCAAAGACAAATAACTCAATTTCTGAGGCATTGCATTTCAAGACAAACTTAGTAAAGATAACATTCCTATTGTTTGAAATTGAACAAATTGGGATTAAAGTAGATGGTTCCAGTGCTAGTCCAAACATCAGCACATATAGACATGTCAAATAGTCAAATCAATCACTGTGTGCTGTAAACATTCTATGATTGTGAATCAGACGAATAAAACGAAAGGGAGTGGCAACATTATTCATATCTAATCGTGCTGTAACTTCTGACTCAGTGAAATCCGAACACATTTCAGAAATGAGATAAGGCAGTTTGTTGTGTGTGTGTTTGTGTGTAAGAGAAGGGAGAAGGCAAGTGAGAATGATCTTGGTTTAAGTTCAGTACAATATAAATCTACATTTATATAAAGTACTTGCATAATTAAAGTCCCGGTATGGAGCTTAAACCCCCCAATATTCAGGCTTAGAGGGTAAGAGTGCTTCCAACTGAGCCAGGTTCACACAACACACATATGCCTCTAAGAAATCATAATAATTTTTAAGGCAATATATATTAGGGAGACTCTTTGCTGCTGGAGAAGAAAAATTAGAACAGCGTGTTATTTACATATACAGGTAATGTGATCACATTTTCAGGAAATAATGGGCTTTAATTTTCAGAGGAGTAAACACTGTAATGTTTCTTTATATATTTGATAATTATGGTATTGTTCTCATTGGAGCAGAGAAGGTTAAGGGTAGATTTAATAGAGGTGTACAAAATTATGAAGGGGTTTGATAGAGTAGATAGGAAGAAACTGGTAACCAGGAGACATAGATTTAAGATAATTGGCAAAATAACCAGAGGGGAAATGAAGAGAAATATTTTTACACAGAGAGTTGTTATGATCTGGAATGCACTGCCTTAAACAGTAATAGAAACACATTCAATTACAACTTTCAAAAGGGGAATTGGATAGGTACTTGAAAAGTACCTCTCATCTCCTATCTTACCACACTCCATCATTAAATTCACCTCCCCCCCACCCCCCACCCCGCACAATCTCTTATTGTAAGAGACTGCTTACCCTTTATGATTATTTAACCCCCCCACCCTTTGGAACTCCATCCCACATTCCCTTCGCCTCGCTCCTTCCCTTGCCTCCCTTAAGGCACGTCTCAAGACCCTCCTCTTCGACTGAGCCTTCAGCTACCTTCCTACCCTCCCTGCCCTACACCCTCCCCGACGATCCCAACACAACCCCTCCCCCCACCACCCCCTCCTCACTCGGGTCCAACTCACTGACTGTCCAGCGTCTTGGGACATCGTCCTGACGTGAGAGGTGCTAAACAAATGCAATTTTGTGTTTTGTATCGTATTGTCACATGAAACCATCTTCAAGATTGTGATCACTGACTGACCCAATAACAAGCATTAAAAAATAATAATAATAATAATACGTGCATTTGCTATAGCTGCCTTTGGCTGTAAAGTGTAGTGACTGTGTGTTGCCAGGCACTGTTAATGACAACACAGCCAGCTGGGCTCATCAACAACTTGGGAGAAGCAAACTATAGAAATACTATAGAGGGGCAAAGTATAGAAATAATCTCTCTTATTCATTCTGCCAATACCAGTCATTGTTTAAAAACATTCTGTGTTACCAAGCGACTGGAATGGCAAATCTCGCACAGGAATCGACTAATTGAAGCCCGACCAGGCTCTGGAGAACAAGTTATCGAATTTAAAACATCTTCTTAAAAAGCAAAACCTGGAAAGGGCTGACGAGAAAGTGTTAGAAATGAAACTGTTTGCATTCCTGCAGAATTGGTTTCGATTTCTGTTCTGGGGAAACAGTAACTTGTGGTTCATAAACGTCAGTGTGTTTTTACACCAGTGGCTGAGAATATAAACAACAGACTTGGTCACAGGAAAGGCAGCTCTCAGTTGCTTTGGTGAGACATACAGATACTGGTTGACATCTCCCAGAGAATAAACATGTTCGAGGCTGAGAGATTTATTAAGCTACTGCTGCAGCTTTGCATGGTCAAGGTGGGCGAGATAGGCAAGTATTTGGGGAAGATTATTGGTTGCATTAGCTTCAGTGGGAGATGGATTTCCCGGAGAGAGAATAGGAACAAGGGGAAAGAGCCGGACCAGAGCGTGATTCCTACCAGTGTGAATTATCACTTCACTCGGCAGTGTAACTACAAGTGTGGCTTCTGCTTCCACACTGCCAAGACATCCTTCGTGCTGCCGCTGGAAGAAGCTAAGAGAGGGCTGCAACTACTAAAGGAAGCTGGTAAGAAAGAAGCTGCTGATAGCGCACTGCCGTGGAGTTTGCAACGCGTATAATAATAATAATAATAATAAATAATAATAATCATAATAATCCTTGCATTTGATGCAACGCTCATTATTATTCCGTCGCAAAACCTAAATTGCATTTTAAAAAAAATAAGTAATGCGGTGCCTAGTGTGGGATAAATTGTTGAGTTTTTCTGCATCTATGATTAAAGCTATAAGTGAGTCAATGGGACTGGCTGTACTATTGTCTTAACGTTAGAGAGATGAAGTTGTTTACAGGTACTATGGTCTCCTAACCATCACTTTAACATTCCTGTGTAAAACTGTATTGTGTTTAGGAAAAGAATACACATTTTAATACAGAGATGTATTAAAGCTTCTGCTCTAGGTTTGCATGTTCAAAGTGAGAGAGGTGTCTGAGTGGTTGAGCAACTCTACTTAGAAGTTCTAGGAGGGTAAACTCATAGGTGATCCTGTGGGGTTTTTTACGTACGAGTACTGCAGGACACCAAACACTTGAAGTGAAGGGTAATGAGCTGTCACAGGTAACCAATACAGAGTCTTTCCTGTATGATTCCTGTGAAATTTATCAGATGTTAGAATAGGTTTATGAGTGACTTGCCACTCCCTCATGGTGGACTGCAGAAGCCACTCCTTCAGACACGTAGGCTGAAACTTGAGCTTCGTCATTAGTTAATTGATTTATTCTATGAATTTTACCACTGATAGTCCGTGCATTTCATATAAGTGCCTTGATCATGTCGTCGAAATGTCTCAAAGCGCTTCACGGGATATACCGTAAAGTGGATTGACTGTGTATTTTGTGGTAGCCAGTTTGTGCACAGCAGTGTCCCACAAACAGCCACGGAGTGAGTGACCAATTTTGTTTGGGGATTGTTGGCCAGGACACCGGGAAAAACTCCCTTCTCTTTTCGAATAGCCCTATGGAATCTTTAACAGGATTTTATTAGTATCACCCATTTTATTAATGATATGGAGTTCTTTTTCTAACCACATCTTTCCAAAAGCATTACACGATTAGTGGTGTAGACTGGTGATGTAGAATTCATTGTTTGATTTGCGCAGGTATGGAAAAGATCAACTTTTCTGGAGGAGAACCTTTTCTACACAATCGTGGGGAGTTTGTGGGGAAGCTGGTACAGTACTGCAAACAAGACCTCCAACTGCCGAGTGTCAGCATTGTCAGCAATGGAAGCCTGATTACGGAAAAATGGTTTAAAAACTATGGTAATTATTTCCGTGTTGTTAGCAGCATACAGAAACAGGAACAGGCAGAGGCTATTCAGTCTATCAAGCTTGCTCCACCAGTAGTGTTCCACAGGATCGGTATCGGGACCACTGTTGTTCACAATATACATTAATGATTTGGATTCAGGAATCAGCAATACATTTTCAAAATTTGCAGACGACACCAAATTGGGGGGAGTAGTCAATACAGAGGAGGACTGCAACAAATTACAGCAAGATATTAATAAACTTGCTGAGTGGGCATTTAAATGGCAAATGCATTTCAATGTAGAAAAATGCGAGGTGGTACATTTTGGTAGAAGAAATAAGGAAGTCACATACAGAGGAGAATAAGGAAGTCACATACATGGGGCAGAGGAGCAAAGGGATCTAGGGATACACATACACAATTCACTAAAAGTAGCAACTCGGGTTAATAAGGTCATAAAAAAGGCAAACCAGGCATTGTGGTTCATTTCTAGAGGGATAGAAATAAAAAGTAGGGAAGTTATGGTAAACTTCTATAGAACCTTGGTTAGACCACACGTAGATACTGTGTGCGGTTCTGGTCCCCACATTATAGAAGGGATGTAGAGATGCTGGAGAGGGTGCAAAGGAGATTCACAAGAATGATCCCAGAACTGAGAGGTTATACCTATCAGGAAAGGTTGAACATGCTTGGACTCTTCTCTTGAAAAGAGAAGGGTAAGGGATGACCTGATAGAGGTCTTTAAAATGATGAAAGGTTTTGATAGGGTAGACATGGGGAAGATGTTTCCACTTATGGGGGAGATCCAAACCAGGGGTCATCAATATAAAATAGTCACAAATAGATCAAATAGGGAAGTTAGAAGCAATTTCCTTACACAGAGAGTAGTGGGAATGTGGAACATGCTACCATAGGGAGTTGTTGAGGCAAATAGCATAGATGTATTTAAGGGGAAGCTAGATAGGTACAGAAAGGAATAGAAGGTTATGCTTGAAGGCTTAGTTGAGGAAGGGCAGGAGGAGGCTCATGTGGAGCATAAACATTGGCATAGACCAGTTGGGCCAAATGTCCTGTTTCTGTGCTGTATATTTTAATATATTCTAATATAGTTTATGAATCTGTTACCATTACCATAGTATCATACAAATATACATCACAGTAGGATGGCATATGGCTCATTTAACAAACTATTATACTTATAAAGATTACGTTTATAACAACTCAGTGGGTGTAAAACAGAACTTTTGCAGAATTTTTATAATCTCCACTATCACTTTTAAATGCACTTGAAGAGCACGTTGAGGACAAACACCAAGAAGTATACCCGTACACAGATTAATGCAGTATGGTTGTGTATATGATACCATGAACCACTCCATCCTCCTCCACCACCTCTCTGACCTCAACCTTCTATCCATGAATGGTTCAGGTCTTATCTCTCACAGCTTCTACAATTTGCCTCCGCCAACAGTTTCTCTTCCAGCCTCTGCACAGTCTTGTGGGGTGTTCCTCAGGGCTCTGTTCTCGGTCCCCTCCTCTTCAACCTGTACGTGCTCTGCCTTGGTGACATCATCTGCAAACATGGGGTCAATTTCCACATGTAAGCAGATGACATCGAACTGTATTTCTACCTCCACCCTCAATTCCAGGACCACTGCTGTCCTGATAGACTATCTGTCTGACATGAAGTCCTGGATGAGAGCCAACTTTCTACAGCTGAATGTCAGTAAGATCGAGGCCCTCCTGATTGGCTCACGCCAGCACCCCCGCACCTCTAGCACTGGCAGCATTAGCATCCACGGTTGCACTCTCCACCTCACCAAGCCAGTTAGGAACCGGCATCTTGTTCGCCTTCAACTGCCTTTCTCCCCCATATATATCCCATGACCCACTCTGCCTTCCCTCACCACCGCAACATTGCCTGACTGCCACATCCCTCAGGCCGCCGAAACCCTCATACACACATTTGTCACCTCAAGGCTTGACTGTGGAAACTCCCTCTTTGTCGGCCTCCCCAACGCTTCCCTCCACAAGCTATAGATCATCCAGAACTCTGCAGCTCATGACCTCTTCTGCACCAGGCTCGTTGACATCATCACCCTCACTCGGCTCCATTGGCTCCCATCCCTCAGAAGATAGAATTCAAAATCCTCATTCTCACTTTCAAGGCCCTCCACGGCCTTGCCCCCTCCTACATCTTTGACCTGCTGACCTCCTACCAACCTGTCTTCTCCCTCCACTCAGCAGGCTCTGGCCTGCTCCAGGTCTCCCCCCGAAACCGCCCTATCATCATCAGCGACCGGGCTTTCAGCCTTCTGCACCAGACTTCGGAATTCCATCCAATAATCTATTCACCTCGCTCCCTCTCTTGCCTCCTTCAAGACATGATTCAAGACCCTCATTTTTGACCATGCCTTCAGCCGCCCTCCTTCATCCCAACTCTGTCCCCCACACTCAGGTCCTGTTCCCTGACTGTTCAGCCCATTGGGATGTCCTCCCGACGTAAAAGGCGCTTTACAAACATAATTTTGTTGTTGGTATTGAAGTACCTCACTCCTGGTACCGTCCTGGTAAATCTCCTTTGCACCCTATCCAATGCCTTGACATTCTTCCCAAAGTCTGGTGCCCAGAACTGAACACTGTACTCTAGTTGAGGCCTAACCAGTGTTTTATAAAGGTTTATCATAACTTCCTGCCTTTTGTATTGTATGCCCATATTTATAAAGCCTTGTATCCTGTATGCTTTTTATCTCCCTGTTCTGCCACCTTCAAAGATTTACTTATATGATCCCCCAGGTCTCTCTGTTCCTTCACCCCCTTTAAGATTGTACCATCAGCTTATATTCCCTCTCCTCATTCTTCCTTCCAAAATGCATCACTTCGCATTTCTCCACATTAAACTTCATCTGCCACGTTTCTGCCCATTTTACCAGTCTGTCTATGCCCATTTGCAGTGCTACAACAACAACAACAACAACAACAAGATTCCATTTATAGAGCGCCTTTCACGTCAGGAGGACGTCCCAAGGCGCTGCACAGTTGGGTCATGACCCGAGCAGGGGGGAAATGGTCAGGGTGAGGGGAGGGAAGGGAGGGAGAGAGGAGGGGGAAATGGTCAGGGTGAGGGGAGGGAAGGGAGGGAGCGAGGAGGAGGAAGAGAGTCGAGAGGGGAGCTGAAGGCACGGTCAAAGAGAAAGGTTTTGAGACCGGCCTTGAAGGAGGAAAGGGAGGAAGCAAGGCGAAGGCACTGGGGGATGGAGTTCCAGAGCCTTGGGGCTGAGAGGCTGAAGGCCCGACCACCGATAGTAGGGCGGTTGGGGCGGGGGACGTGGAGCAGACCGGAGCCAGAGGAACGGAGGGTACGGGCAGGTAGGTAGGGGGATAGTAGGTTGGAGAGGTAGGAGGGAGCAAGGCCGTGAATGGCCTTGTAGGTGAGGATGAGGATCTTGAAATCAATCCTCTGGGGGATGGGGAGCCAGTGGAGGCGAGCGAGGGTAGGAGTGATGTGGTCCCGAAGCCTGGTGCGGGACAGTACACGAGCTGCAGAGTTCTGAATGACCTGCAGCTTGTGGAGGGAGGTGGCGGGAAGGCCGGCGAGGAGAGAGTTCCCATAGTCCAGCCTTGAGGTGACAAAGGCGTGAACCAGGGTTTCAGCAGCGTGAGGGGTGAGGTAGTGCCGTAATCTGGCGATATTCCGGAGGTGATGGAAGGCGGTGCCAGTTGTGGTGCGGATGTGAGGGAGAAAGGACAGCTCAGGGTCGAACAAAACGCCGAGGTTCCTGACTGGCTTTGAGAGGTGGAGAGTGCAGCCTTGGATGCTGATGGTGTCAGCGCCTGAGGTGCGGAGGCGCTGACGTGAGCCAATCAGGAGGGCCTCGGTTTTTCGCACGTTGAGCTGAAGAAAGTTGTCTCTCGTCCAGGACTCGATGTCGGACAGGCAGGCTGTCAGGACATCGGTGGTCGTGGAGTTGAGAGTAGAGGAGGAAAGGTAGAGTTGGGTGTCATCCGCATACATGTGGAAGTTAACCCCATGTTTGCGGATGATGTCACCGAGGGGGAGCATATAGAGGGTGAAGAGGAGGGGACCGAGGACAGAGCCCTGAGGGACACCACATGAGACAGTACGGGGGGTGGAGGAGAAGCCATTCGTTGAGACGAAGTGAAGACGGTGGGAAAGGTAAGAGCTAAACCATTCATGCTACTATCCTCCTCACTGTTTACTACTTTTCCGAGCTTTGTATCATCTGCAAACTTGGAAATTGTACTCCCTCTACCCAAGTCCAGGTCATTCATATAGATCACAAACAGCAGTGGTCCCAATACTGACCCCTGGGGGACAACACTGCACACCTCCCTCCAGTCAGAAAAACAACTATTCACCACTACACTGCTTTCTGTGTCCCAGCCAGACTGTGCTGGCACTGTCCCTTTAATACCGTGGGCTTCTATTTTGCTTTCAAGTCTCTTATGTGGCACTTCATCTCTTCATTTTCTTCCATAATATTTTAAAACTTAACCTTACACTGAATTTTACTAATTATATTGCAGGGCCTCAATGTTTATGATTAAGCATTCATATTACAGGTGAAGATCTGGACATCTTGGCTGTTTCTTGTGACAGTTTTAAAGAGGATACCAATCGCCTGATAGGCCGTGGACAAGGAAATAAAAATCATATCAAGAACCTCCTGAAAGTCAGACAGTGGTGCAGAGATTACAGAGTAGCTTTTAAAGTCAACTCTGTTGTTAACACATTTAATTTTGAAGAGGATATGAATGAGCAGATCAGGATGCTGAATCCAGTGCGATGGAAGGTAATTCAAACCATTCAAAACATTTAATTTCTTAGCAATGTTAACGTGTGAATTACAGCTTATGTATAAAGAAAAACTGACTATAATTGGAGCTTTTGTTAACTAGAACAGAGGGTATATGATAGAGGTGTTTAAAATTCTGAAAGGGCAAAGGACATGACAACATAAATCTTTCTTTTATTTGGGGAAAAATTTGGGGGCATAAACTCAGGATGTTATCAGGAGCATCAGGGTAGAGGTTTACAAGGAGTTTTCACTCAGAGGCTTGTTGGGATGTGAAATGTATGACCATAATTGACCATTGAAGTTGGAACAAAGTAAGGCTTCAAAATAAAACTGTTGCTCCATTTAACGCATAGTAATAATATACTGTATAATTATACATTTGTGCTCCATCTCTGACATATTATTTCATGGTTAGGCCAGTGCGTTACCACTGGGAGTAATATTTTATGGTTAGGCCAGTTTAGCAATGCTATGACAATTTTATACAGAGAGGCCACAGAGGTGAGAGTTATAGAAACTGCAAAAATTATGAAACTGAAAAATTATGTTTGTTCCCAGAGAACTGGAGAAAACATAAATGATATGAGTAGATAGATAATTTTGCAGAATGAGTAGTTCCTAAATGATATCTTTATTTAAAAAATGCAGGTATTTCAATGCTTGTTGATTGATGGGGAAAATGCTGGAGAAGACGCCATTAGACATGCAGCAACATACGTAATCAGCAATGACGATTTTAATCGGTATTTGGATCGGCACAAAGGGATTGAGTGCCTTGTGCCTGAATCCAATGAGAAGGTAAGATATAACAAACAACAACAAATTACGTCAGGAGGACATTCCAAAGCGCTGACAATAAACATGCAGAATGTAGGGGGGAAAAGAGAACATGGATTTAAAATGGTAGTGAGGTTTCAGTCATTTTCCTGGGTGTTACTCCCAGAAATCTGACTGGACTTTGGGTTTACTTCAACTAGCAGTCACGTTAGCAATATTCTGCAAATTTGCAATTCATTTCAATACAATTTGGAACTTCTCGAGTGCTAGTGACATTCAGCTATAGGCCTGGTGGTGTGATGGTCACAACTCCACTGGTAACTTACTTCTATCAACCAAAATGGCAATAGATATATATTTTGAAGTTAGGAAGAAAGATTTTTCAAAACCGTATTTTATAACTTAATATTTTGAAGAAATCCCAATTTGTTCTTTATATTTAATAGCATCCATTTACTACTTTCTACTTTAAGAATTGTTTGCTGGCTGAATTAACATAATTCAGAGGGCTGTTAGAGTTTGTTATTATCATAAGTGGCTATGAGGTAGAAACAATAGAATCATTCAAAAGGGTAAGAACCTGAAATGTAAAGACATTAAGAGATATAAGGAGAGCTGGAAAGTGGAATTAATTAGAATAGGTAGCAGTAGTACAGACATGATGGGCTGAAAGGCCTCTTTCTATTTAAATTTTTACGGTGCCACCCAATGAATATTGTGTACAATGCAAGATTCATATAAAATGAATACACATAGCATACACATAACCATCTTACATCAAATACTTTGGCCCTGAGTCTGATGTTTTTGCACACAAAACTGAGGAATAGATGTAAGCTTCATTCAGCCTAAATCTTGTGCTTGGTCTTTGCCATCTGTTGTCCTTGATGAGGGCATAACTTTATACATGTTTTGTACCTGTAGCTTTTAGATAATTTGTCATCATTTTATTTCTCTGTGTTTGTTTCATCCTTACTACTTTTATGGGCACAGGCATTCATTCCTGTAGAATTAATAATACTTTCTGCGTCTCAGTTGTATTGAAACGTAAACAGTGCTTTTCTCTTTATTTCTAACTCCTGTCTCTAACTGCCCCGCAGATGCGAGACTCTTACCTCATCCTTGATGAATATGTAAGTATTGTGTTAGTGCACCAGTTCCCTATATACTAGTTCACTAGTTCTTCACCTCCCTACTTCTCCAATCTGCTCACACCCCACTCCTCTACCTGCCCCTTTGCTTAGACAGCTCAGACCTTCTGCACATAGAATCATAGAATTATACAGCATGGAACGAGGCCATTTGGCCTATTGTGTCTGTGAAAAGAGCTATCCATTTCAGGTAATGCATTCCAGATCCGAACAACTCACTGTGTAAAACAAATTCTCCTCACCTCCCCTTTGTTTCTTTTAACAACTATTTTAAATCGGTGTCCTCGGGTTACCGACCCACCCGCCCGTGAATTGGTAACCCGAGGACACCGATTTAAAATAATTGTTAAAAGAAACAAGAGGGGAGGTGAGGAGAATTCTTTCTCCCCCCCAACCCGCTGTTCCACCATCGGTAGCCGTTCTTTCAGCCAGCATGCTCCAACCCTCTGGAACGTTCTGCCTCAAACCCTCTGCCTTGCCCGTCTTCAAAGCATATCTGACGACTGCAGAGTCACCTCACCCTTCTCCCTGGCTCTTCATCAAAATGCACCATTATTAAGCTCCCCAAGATTACCCTCATGAAGGGCGCTAAATAAATGCAAGTTGTTGTTCTATCCTTTTTAAGCATTCCAAATATTTGATCAAAATCTGGCTGTTGTTGACACTACTTGCTTTGCAATCATACAAGAACTTGAGGCAACACAAACTTCCATCTATATAGTATCTTTCACATAGGATAACATCTTGAAGTGTATTGTGGAGAAAATATAAATTACTGAGCGAGTGAGAAGAGTGGGTTCATGATGACCAAAACCACAGTCAAAATATGTTTTCCTTAGAGTGCAGGGAAAGATGTTCAAGGTTAAGGGGTTTTTGGAGTGTTGAGTATACACAGGTTCAGAGCTCAACTAGTTCAGTGCAGGAACAAATCTTTAACAATGATCTCCTCTTGTTAGTAAATCTGTGGAAATAAACTTTACAATTTCAATTAATGAGTGTAAAATAATTTTTTTTAGCCTACCCCATAATTTTTTAACCTACCCCATAAAGTTATTCTTCAAACGTTTCTTACTCGAGGTATAAATTGGGTGGACATCAGAATTTATCCTATGTGAAAGTGCACTCTACATGCTGTGGCCAACAAAGAAATATAACTGAACAAGGCATAATTGATGAACTTCATTCAGTGAGTTTTAAAAATGTGAACAATTTCCAATTTTTAATTTCCCTTCTTACTGTGTTTCAGATGCGTTTCCTGGACTGCACCAAAGGCAGAAAAGATCCATCTAAATCCATCCTGGACGTCGGTGTTGAAAATGCTATTACATTCAGTGGATTTGATGAAAAAATGTTCTTTAAACGAGGGGGAAAATACTTGTGGAGCAAAGCTGATATGCGCTTGGAATGGTGATCAGTTGTTGCATATAGAACTTGTATATTGGCCAATAGTATTCATCCTTTCTGTAAGTGCTGTACGACTGATTAAGATTAGTGCCTCTTAGTTTTGTACAAAGCAAATTAGTCCATACGTTTAATATTTTAAGCATTCGTTTTTTAAAATTTTCTAAGGCAATGCATTTACCTTTTCTAGTACATTAAAATTATAAGCTAATTACTGACCAGATTGAAATTGTATTTCTTCTCCTAACACAAAATTGCAATGAAATTTAGACCTTATATTATAGCACCAAAGCAAGTATAAGTTTTTTGTTTTGAACCGTCTTCTAATTGTTTCAGAATACCGTTGAATTTAAAGAAGGAATTGAATATCTAGACTCAATACCTGGGCTATATTTCTTTCACTCCAGCTAAGAAATGGACTTCAGGGTTAAATTTTTGTAATGTGATGTATTTTCTAGTGCACATTATATGGTGTGGAAACACCACTAAATTAGCCACAGGATTTTTCATAACATTTCTGGGGTCACGCTGCCCTTTATTACTGTGTGTTAAGAGAAATTGATTTATTTGTTATTCCCACTTCCTGATTTGAATGGTCACTTCTGTATATCAACCAAGTCCAGCTATATTATTTCAGACATTCTTTGGCTGTAAAATCAGTTTAAAAACTGTGCTTCCTTTCACTTCCAAAAAACGATGGTTCAGAGAGACAGAAAATATATTTTGTACTTAGAAGTTAGAAATGAAAAAAGTGAAAGGTGGTAGCAAAATAAGTAAAAAGAAGAGTAAGTTTAAATAGAAAGATAACAGTGACATAACAAGCATAGAGTTTTTATTAAATGCATATTTTAATATATTTTTTATATGTTTTATGTATTTTAGTCATTTTTAAAAGTCACACGATCAAATTGATTTGTATTTCAAACTTTAATATGAATTTAAACATTTTTTAAACCATAAATGAATAGTTCTGTGAATATTTTATATTTGTTTATTTAAATGCTATGGGCCTATTTACCAAAGTTAAGACTCATACAGTATAAAACAAACTATGATATAAAATCCGATCAAATACAAAAACTGCAACTAAATGAGATGAATGTTACTAGATTTGTCCTTTTCTTCCCCGGTTTACTTCGTGAATTTTTCAAATATGCAATTAATTGGTGTGTCATTGTTACAACTTTTTAAAAATCTGTCAGACATTAATTTGTTTGGGTCTTCTCAGCATTATGTGAAACATTTATGCATTTACATGTTGGTAAATAAAATTTGGTTTTAACAGGTGAAAATACCTTTTCTTCCCCTATTCGTGTTTCCCATTTCTTTTCTTAACAATTGTATACAATATAAATAATCTTTCCATTTGATAGAGTACCTTTCATATCAGGAGGATGTCTCAAACCACTTCACAGGATTTACTCTAAAATACAGAGTCTGTATATTTTGTAGGTGTATACAGCAGCCAATTTGCACATAGTAAAGACTCACAAACAGCCATAAAGTGAATGTTTCAAGTTTATCTGGGGAATCGTTGACCAGGAATCCAAGAGAAACTCCCTTCTCTTTGTGAATAGTGCTCTGGGATCTTTAAATATCCACCAGCAGCCAGGACCTTGGTTTTATGTTCTCATCCATATCTGTACCCTTAATGTCACTCTGACAATGCAATACACCCCAGCACTACATTGGAGTGTCAGCCTGAGTTTAAAATCCTGATGAGGAACTTGAGCCCACAATCTTCTGACCTAGAGACGAGAGTCCTGCTAACTATCTTACTAACTGTCCTTTCTCCCCCACATCCGCACTATGTCTACCACCACCTCCGCAACATTGCCAGATTCCGCCACTGCCTCACCCCTCAGGCTGCCGAAACCCTCACCCATGCATTCTTCACCTCAAGGCTTGATTATGGGAACTCCCTCCTCATCAGCCTTCACAACTCTTCCCTTCACAAGCTGCAGATCATCCAAAACTCTGCAGCTTTGTGTACTCTCACTCACCAGGCTCCGTGACTCCATCACTCCCACCCTCGCCCGACTCAACTGGCTCCCCATCTCCCAGAGGATCGAGTTCAAGATCCTCGTCCTCACCTTTAAGGCCAGCCTACCTCCTAACTCTCTGACCTGCTGACTCCCTACCAACCTGCCCGCTTCCTCCATTCATCAGGCTCCGGTCTGTTCCATGTCTCCCGCCCGACCCACCCTACCATCGGTGGCCAGGCTTTCAGCCTCTCTGCCCCCACACTCTGGAACTCCATCCCACGTTCCCTTCGCCTCGCTTCCTCCCTCGCCTCCTTCAAGGCTGATCTCAAGACCCTTCTCTTTGACCGTGTCTTTGGTCTCCCTACCACCTCTCTGCCTTCCCTCCCCTCTACAACACCCCTCCCCCATGCTCGGGCCCCAACACCTGACTGTTCAGCGCTTTGAGACGTCCTCCCGACATGAAAGGCGCTCTATAAATGTAATTTTGTTGTTGCTGTTGTTATTGTTGGTGTTGTAACTATCCCAAGCTGACACCTGAAGAAACATAGGGATAACATTTTTTTTTATATCAGACCCAGTGTTAATTAACTCAGTATTAATTATTGCTGCAATTACTAATGTTTTGTGTGAACTAACATTCCAAGCTTCATATTAAACCTGCTGTAATAATGAATACCCACATGGTGGCAGTATCTTACCACTTGCCCCCTCATGGGCCCCAATACCTATTGTTAAATAACATTTTAAGGACCAGGAAGAACACTAATTTAACTACTCATAAATATGTAGACCAGAAGGACTTATATACAACAACAACGACAACAACAAGATTCCATTTATTGAGCGCCTTTCACGTCTGGAGGACGTCCCAAGGCACTGGACAGTTGGGACAGAACCCGAGCAGGGGGGAAATGGTCAGCGTGAGGGGAGGGAAGGGAGGGAGCGAGGAGGGGGTAGAGAGTCAAGAGGGGAGCTGAAGGCACGGTCAAAGAGAATATAAAGAACTTACCTCATTCTTTAAGGGCAAAAAAGGTCTAACACGGCAGATCAGTTTCAAAATCGTAGTTGGCATTCAGTGATTTACAGTAGGTGTTGTGAATTATAATAATAATCCTTACATTTGATACAGCTCCTTTCACATAACAACAACAACAAGATTCCATTTATAGAGCGCCTTTCACGTCGGGAGGACGTCCCAAGGCGCTGTACAGTTGGGTCAGGACCCGAGCAGGGGGAAATGGTCAGGGTGAGGGGAGGGAAGGGAGGGAGCGAGGAGGGGGTAGAGAGCCGATAAAGAGAATATCTTCGTGGGGCTTTACTATAAAAAGCAGTGACAGTGTATTTTGTAGGTGCCTTGGAACCAATGGTGGAGGGGCTCTGGGACCATTGGCAGAGGGTCTCTGGAACCATGGGCAAGGGGTGCTCAGAACCATTGGCAGAGGGGGCTCTGGAACTATTGGCAGAGGGGCTCTGGAACCACTGGCCGGGAGGGCTCTGGAACCATTGACAGAGGGGGCTCTGGAACTATTGGCAGTGGGAACTCTGGAAGCATTGAAGGGAATGCTTGGGAGCCATCCGATTGGAGGCACTTGGGAACCATCCCACAGGGGGGTGGGAGGCACTGGTCCCATCCACGCAACAGTCAGTCTCCCTCGATCTGCCGCTGTCTAGTGACTCTCAGGACACGCATGAGAGTCGGGGCATCACATGACCAGCTAACGGCTTTACCCCCACGAGCTCCAACACAGACTCCCTCACCCCCCAACAACCCCCACTCTCGCCCATCCACCCTCCCAACTAGCCCTCTCTACCTCACTCCCCCCACAACCACCCCCTCTCTCACCCCCAACCATCTCCTCTCTCCTCAGGAGCCCCGACATTGACAATCCCTCTAACCCACGTCCCCTAATCTGTGCTCTACCCTCATATTTATAACCCACTGTCTCCCTCCTCCTAAACTACACCCCTCCCACCCCATTCCCTCCGAGACCTACCGCTGCTATTGTTTCCTCTTCCAATGGCTTCTTAATGTCCTCCCCCACTCCCGCTCTACCGCGGGAATGCCGGTCCTGAGCTGGGCTCCCTGCACATCCCTTTACCCAGGTTATTGATTACTATAAATCCATAGCCCAAGGTCAAACTAATCACTAGCCCAAATGTAGCCCAATATTATGCGTTGTTTCCCAGGGTCGGAGAGTGGATGATTTAGGTTTGTTCAAAGGAGAAACAAAACAAGAGCTCATTGTTTGGGTTATACACCCCATAAAGCTCAGAGTATTTGTTGCGCACTACCACAACAACAACTTGCATTTATATTGTGACCTTCGATCAGGGCAGGGTCTCAGAGCTCTTAACAGTGGGGGAAAGGAGGATGTGACCGTAAGCACAGTCGAAGAAGAAGGACTTCAGTCGTGATCTAAAAGATCTAAAAGGAGGGGCAAGGCAGTCGGTTTGAGGGAGAGAGTTCCAAAGCTTCGGGTCGTAGTGGCTGAAAGTGCGGCAACCGATGGTGGAGTGGAGGGGATGGGGGACAAGCAGGAGGCCAAATCCAACAAGGTGAAGGCAGTGTGTAGTGGAGTAATAAAAAAAAACTGATCCTTGCATTTGATATAGCACTTTTCACATCTTCGAGACGTCTCAAATCACTTCACAGAATATACTCTAGTGAATTGATCATATATTTGTGAGCGAAACACGGCAGACAATTGCGCACAGCAGTATGCCACAAACAGTCATGGATTGAAGTGATCAATTTATTATTGTTTTTTTTCTTGAGGGATTATTATCAGGCGTGTGGAATAAGAAAACTTGCCCAAGGTTTTGCTCTGCTAGGAATTGAACCCAGGTCTCTCACTTGTGAGGCGAGTGCTCTACAACAACAACATCAAAATTCCATTTATAGAGTGCCTTTCACGTCAGGAGGACGTCCCAAGGCGCTGTACAGTTGGGTCAGGACCCGAGCAGGGGGAAATGGCCAGGGTGAGGGGAGGGAAGGGATGGAGCGAGGAGGGGGTAGAGAGTCGAGAGGGGAGCTGAAGGCACGGTCAAAGAGAAAGGTCTTGAGACCGGCCTTGAAGGAGGAAAGGGAGGAGGCGGCGAAGGCACTGGGGGATAGAGTTCCAAAGCCTAGGGGCTGAGAGGCTGAAGGCCTGGCCACCGATGGTAGGGCGGTTGGGGCACACTGAGCTACAGGGCTCGCTGTACAGGACTACAGGAATGGGGAGAAAGCAGGTCAGAGAGGTAGGGAGGTGCCAGGGTGTGAAGGGATTCATAGAAGAGTGTGAGGATCTTGAAGTCGATCCGTTCTGCGATGGGGGCCAGTGGAGCCTGGCAAGGACTGGTGTGATGGGGTACGAAGTTTAGTGTGGGTGAGAATACAGGCATTGGAGTTCTGAATCAGTTGTAGTTTGTGGATAGTGGAGCTGAGAGACAGGTAAGGAGGGCATTAGAATAGTCGAGGAAGGAGGTGAAGAAGGCATGGACAAGGGTTTTGGCTGTGTTTGGTGTGAGGTATGGTCAGAGGCGGGCAATGAGAGGGAGGTGGAGGAAAGAAGTGGAGGAAACAACAGAGAGCTCAGTGTGTGTGTTACACACTATAATAACATAACAATCCTTGTATTTGACATAGCGCCTTACTACGTCATTATCTTAAAGTGCTTCACAGAATACACTGTGAAGTGTAGTGACTGTGTATTTTGTTTGGCGAAACACAAATAAACAGCAAAATTTTACTTGTCACCATCAGAGCATAATACGGAAATGGACCCATCTCTCTGTGATGGCATCTAGAGTGGGTATTACAGAGACCATGGAGATCTTAGTGTTTGTGTGTGTTACGCACTAGCGACCTCAGTCTGGGAGTTATAAAGATTATAATCCTTGCATTTGATATAACGCCTTATCATGTCTTCCAGACGCCTCAAGGTGCTTCACAGAATATACTGTAAAGTGAATTCACTGTATATTTTGTGGGCGAAAGGAAGCAGCCAATTGGGCACAGCAGTGTCCCACAAACAGTTGTGGATTGAGTGACCAAAAATTTAACTAATTTGAGTTAAATTTGACCCCAAAATTGACCTTCAAAATCTTTTTGAAGGTTGTTGCAGACTAGAGAGAGAGCTCAATGTGGGTGTTACAGACCATTAGGAACCAAGAAAAAAATTAGGATCTCGCTGTGTGTCTTGCAAGGCATTGGGAGCTCTCTGTGTGTGTTGCAAGGCATTGAGAGCTCCGTGTGTGTGCGTTTGTGTGTTACAAGGCATTGGGAGTCCTGTGTGTGTGTCGCAAGGCATTGGGAGCTCTGTGTGTGTGTGTGTTGCGAGGCATTGGGAATCCTATGTGTGTGTGTGTGTGCGTGTTGCGAGGCATTGGGAGCCCTGCATGTGTTGCAAGGCATTGGGAGTCCTGTGTGTGTGTTGCAAGGCATTAGGAGTCCCGTGTGTGTGTGTTGCAAGGCATTGGGAGCCCTGTGTGTGTGTATGTGTTACAAGGCATTGGGAGTCCTGTGTGTGTGTTGCAAGGCATTGGGAGCCCTGTGTGTGTGTGTGTTGCAAGGCATTGGGAGTCGTATGTTGTTAGGCATTGGGAGCTGTGTGTGTGTGTTGCAAGGCATTGGGAGCTCTGTGTGTGTGTGTGTTGCAAGGCATTGGGAGCTCTTGACCTCTTCTCTTCTCAAACCAGTACTATTTGCCTTCGTTCCTCCTGGACTGGCCTCCTCCTCATTCCCCGAGTCCTCCGCTCCACCCTCGGCGGCCGTGCCTTCAGCCACTATGCCCCGAGGCTCTGGAATTCCCTTCCTCACTCCCTTCGTCTCGCTCTCTCCCTTCCCATTTTCAGGTCTCTGCTGAAGACCTTTCTTTTCCACCGCGCCTTTGGTCACCTTCCCCCCCTCCGCCTGGCTTGGTCCTGGGATCCGTTACTGTAAAGTGCTCTGAGACACCGTCTGGCGTGGAGGGCGCTATATAAATCCAAGTTGTTGTTGTTGTTTGTTGCAAGGCATTAGGAGCCCCGTGTGTGTTGCGAGGCATTGGGATCTGTGTGTGTGTGTTGCGAGGCATTGGGAGCCCTGTGTGTGTGTTGCAAGGCATTGGGAGCTCTGTGTGTGTGTGCGTTGCAAGGCATTGGGAGTCCTGTGTGTGTGTGTGTGTTGAGAGGCATTGGGAGCTCTGTGTGTGGGGGTGTGAGGGAGAGGGGGTGTTGCAAGGCATTGGGAGCCCTGTGTGTAGAGGGGCATTGGGAGCTGTGTGTGTGTGTTACACGGCATTGGGAGCTCTGTGTGTGTGTGTGTGTGTGTTACACGGCATTGGGAGCTCTGTGTGTGTGTGTGTGTGTGTTACACGGCATTGGGAGCTGTGTGTGTGTGTGTGTGTGTTACACGGCATTGGGAGCTGTGTGTGTGTGTGTGTGTGTGTGTTACACGGCATTGGGAGCTCTGTGTGTGTGTGTGTGTGTGTTACACGGCGTTGGGAGCTCTGTGTGTGTGTGTGTGTGTGTTACACGGCATTGGGAGCTCTGTGTGTGTGTGTGTGTTACACGGCGTTGGGAGCTCTGTGTGTGTGTGTGTGTGTTACACGGCGTTGGGAGCTCTGTGTGTGTGTGTGTGTGTGTTACACGGCGTTGGGAGCTCTGTGTGTGTGTGTGTGTTACACGGCATTGGGAGCTCTGTGTGTGTGTGTCTGTGTGTGTGTTACACGGCATTGGGAGCTCTGTGTGTGTGTGTGTGTGTGTGTGTGTTACACGGCATTGGGAGCTCTGTGTGTGTGTGTGTGTGTTACACGGCGTTGGGAGCTCCTGTGCTGCGAGTCCTGGGGAGAGGAGAGGAGAGGAGACGGCGGCAGCAGAGAGGGAGCGCGGAGGCCGAGGTGAGTGTAAAGATGGAGCTCTGCTTCTCCCTCCGTCCCTCTGTGTGTGTGTGTGTGTGTGTGTGTGTGTCGGTCTCTCCCCGTTCTCTCAGCCCAGTCCCGGGTCCCGGTTCCCCGCTCCCGACTGACCCAATGCCCTCACCGCGCCACACACTGCTGTGCTGTGCTGCTGTGCTGTGCTGCTGCTGTGCTGTGTGTAACTGGTACCATCAGACGACGGTGTAGCTGTGTCTGGATCGCAGGGGCTGCAAAGGAGATGGAGGAGACTCAATGTTAGTGCCAGTGAGTGAGCTGTGAGCTGTCTCCAGCACTCACGGGGGACACAGGAATTCATTTGTTCGAGATAAGAAAAAAAAACAAAGCAAATTTTGGTCCACATTTTGCCTGATGACACCCCCCCCCCATCCCCCAGCAGCACAATTCAGTGTTGCAATGTCCCTGCAACCAGACACTTAGCACATCCACTACATGCAAAGGCGACTTCTAAACCCTGGGACAAGACTGAGGGATAATCTGATGCTCTGTGCCTCACATATTTACCACATCACTACATTTCTCTTTACGCAGGACAAGGTATGTGCCTTGGACAGAGGTCACATTTAGTTGTGCCTTATGAGCAATTAGTATTTATGATTGATTTTAACATGCACTGTCGTTTTTTTTTCTTGGGACAACAGCTATTTTCAAAGGTACGGCGACAAGCCGTATGTTGTGCGTTGGGGTTGTCTCTGCCACCCTATTGTAAGTCAGTGTTGAACAAGATGATTTTATGTCAGCTCTGGTTTTGGTTTCAGTAATGCATATTTGTTTTTTTCGTTTTTACAGTTAATTTAATGTCTCGTGAGTACAGGTACATGATACCGGCAAACGACAGTGAAGCTTTTTACACAATACAGGCTTACAATACAGTACCAAATTATATATATATATATATATATAGCGCCTTTCGCGTCAGGAAGATGTCCCAAGGCACTTAACAATAATGGTGTTAATGGCGGCAATAATGGGGGAGGGGAACGATGATCACAAGCGCGGTCAAAAAGGTAGGTATCGAGACAGACATTGAAGTGTGTTTGCATTTAAAAATACTGTACCGTTACAATAATGTCAATTATATACAGGCGAGGATAACATTAGTTAAATGGAAATGCTAGAATTGTGAAACCTGTTTTCCATGGAAGATTAATCTAAAGTGTAAGGAAACTGTTAGCTAATCACAGACGTAATGAGTGCTATTCATACCCACAAAAGTATTTAACGGGGGGTTAGAGTGCACTGATTGCATAATACAGATATTTCAGAAAGGTATACAAGTTAAATCTCAGGTTGAATCATAGTATCAGTATTTATAATAATAACCTTTACATGTTATACTAGCTGTACCCGTTGCAGCTATGCTTGCAACCAGTTTCGTCTGGCATTTTAATTTGTCCTTGAAAGGCTTGATCTTTGCTTCTTAGGTATCTTTATCCCTTAAGATTTAAGAAAATGTGCTATTGAACTCATTAGCATCCATGTTCGCATATCTGCACACATATCCTTTTGGGTGGACTCCTGTGGGAGGATTCCTGTTGGGAGCATTCCTTGTTGGAGTCCATCCATGTGTGATAGCATGTTTAGGTCACTATAGGAGATCCCCGAAAAAAAAAATATGCCTATGACACAAGACCTTTCCAATGAGGTTTAAATCATATCTCTACGTCAATCGGTTAGACAGACACACAGACAGACATTTTGTTTTTATTATTATAGATGTATCTCTCTAGAAGGGTGTCTGTTGTTACTTTGTTGCAGAATACCATGCATACCTTTTTTGCCTCTTAATTAAATCATTTTTTAATATATTTTTTAATATAGATCATCTACCCAGGTCTCTCGTGTCACAAGCAAGAGACCTGGGTTCAGTACCCGGCAGGGTGAAATATTGGGCCAGTTCCCCACATGCCTCTGTTTACCTAGCAATAAGTAAGAACACGGTTGTTAGTCAATTGGCGGATCGCTTTTCCGGGGGTAATAATTCCCTCCAAAAAAAAACTGGTCATTTCAGTCCACGAGTGTTTGTGGGACACCGCTGTTTCCAATTGGCTGCCGTGTTTCGCCCACAAAATATATATATATATTCACTTTATAGTATTCTCTGTGAAGGCTTTGAGACGTCTCATCGATGTGATCAAGGGCTATATCAAATGCAAGGACTATTATTATGATTAATTCACGTAGATTTTTCTATGTAATAAGAGTAGTTGGCCTTTTTTTTCAAATTCCTACTTGAAATACCTCGTAACAATAATACTTGTATTTGGTATAGCGCCTCAACACAGTGTACTGTTGCAATGAGATGGATGAGCAATTTTGAGGTGAATTTGGAGGAGGGAGGAATTTGGCTGAGAGAGGCTGGACTCCTGCAGACGGGACTTGAAGGATGAGGTGGAGGGATTGCAGGATAGAGTTCCAGTGTGTGGGGGCAGAGATGCTGAATGCCCAACCACCAATGGTGGGGCGGGAAGTGCGGGGGACCTGAAGCAGGCCGGTGTCTGCTGAGAGGAGGGTGCGGACAGGTTGATATGGGGTTATGAGGTCGGAAAGATAGGGCGAAGCAAGACCGTGGAGGGCCTTGAAGGTAAGAACAAGGGTTTTGTACTCAATTCTGTGATGAATGAGGAGCTAGTGAAGCCAGGCAAGAACGGGGCTGATAGGTTCCCGGAGCCTGGTGCAGGAGAGGACACGAGCTGCAGAGCTCTGAATAATCTGCATCTTGAGGGAAGCGTTGGGAAGTCCAGTGAGCAGGCAGTTGCCGTAGTCAGACTGGGATATAATGAAAGTGTGGATCTGGGTCTCGGGGGCCAGTGGTGACAGTCAGTGGCAGAGTCAGGCAATGTTGCGGTGGTGTGGAAAGGCGGAATGGATCACGGCACGAATGTGGGGTTTGAAGAATAGCTGAGGGTCGAAAAGGACACTGAGGTTTCGGATTGGCTCAGTGAGGTGAAGAGTGCAGCCGTGAGTGGTGATAATGTCAGCGGCTGAGGTGAGGAGGCGCTGCCGGGGCCTCTGTCTTGCCAACATTGAGCTGGAGGAAGTTGGCTCTCGTCCAGGACTTGATGTCAGATAGACAATTAGGCAGGACATAAATGGTCCTGGAGTCTAGAGTGGAGGCGGAGAGATAGAGTTGAGTGTAATCCGTATAACATGTAGTAATTGACCCATGCCTGTGGATGATATCGCTGAGCTGGAGCATGTATAGATAGAGGAGGGGACCGAAGACAGAGCCCTGAGGGACAACATATGTGCGGGGGCTAGAGGAGAAGCCATTAGTGGCCACAACGTGCAGACAGTGGGAAAGGTAGGATTGGGACCAGGCAAGAACAGAACTAGAGTGTCGATGTAGAATGTCTGTGGTTCTACAATAATATGGATATTTATCTGTAATGTTTATGTATCTCCGAGTAATAGTTTGGAACAACTTTGCTGAATTGCTTGTCCAATTGACAAAACAGTTGAAAAAGTCGCGACAATAGATTGTTTCAAAGACCGATATGTTACCACCTGAAATTCTGATATTCTTAATTGTTACTGTGAAGTCTTAAGAGTGAAATTAAAAGTCACACTTTGCAGGCTTTTATAAATTTTTGTCTGTTCTGAGGGAATTTTTGTTGTTTCATAAATGGTATGAATAGAACGTAGGCAGCATTTTGCTTCCTGTGAATTACGTTTGGGACCAATCTTTGTATTATCTTTTAACATATTTCTGTTTCTCTTCAGTGTAATATGTTTTGCAAAACTATCACTCGTATCTGGACCTATTCGAAAAAATGAATTGCTTTGCAATAACAATAAAGTGCAATGTTAAGGAAAATGGTATTCATAATATGTGGCATTAAGATGTTAATAGATTTGTTCAATGTTGGACTCCATGGTTACTGAGCTCCTGGAATTGTGGAATGTGACCAATCAACAATGAATAATGTAGGTTTAAATATTTGAGAGAAAAAGCAGTTTTCCTGATTAGCTTTGGGAGGTGGTGAGAAAGATTGCACAATGTTCCCTCAAGATATTTCAAAATTGAGCTATATGACAAATTATTTGAAATCTATGATAGTGAACATGGACTATGATAATGGAAATTGAATGTGATCTTGGAAGGAATGGGTTTTGTGAGAAAAGTAACTTTTTCATCCAGGTTTTTTGATGTTATTGATTTTATGGAAGCTGACAACATCAATATTTCTTTAAACAAAATCCAAAAGTTGTTTTTTTCGCTGTGCCAACGCTTGTTCCATTGTATCATAGCTGTTTGTGGGACAATGCTGTGTGCAATTGGAGTGCTGGCTTCACCCACAATTATACAGTCACTCTACTTCACAGTAAATCCTGGTTTGGGATTTCCTCCTGACGTGAAAGACACTATGCCAAAATGCAAGTACATTATTATATTATTATATTATTAACATTTTGACAATTTTGATTGGCCTATTGTTGCACTGCACTCATGATTAGCACTATCCCGCAGCTTCTTGTCTAATTCAGGACACTTTTGGGATGACACTGAGCTTTATCTGCGAAAGATACCTGTGAAATGAATGGCATTGCTGATTTGAAAATTGGCTTCCTTTGGTGATTATTAGCAGCACTCTTATGAGGGTAGAATTCAAAATTCCTTTTGCTTTCGTGCCAAAATGCTTGCAAATAATTTGTAAAATGCATAACAATATCTGCCCTAGTATGTATTAGGAAAGTAGAAGAGAAAAAACAATATTTTGATCAAGGCTGTGGGATAAATTGTTTTCTAACACTGAACTGGTACCTGCTATCCACCTAGTGAGGGCTCAAACCTGCTCTTGTAAGATGTTAAATAACAAACCAGTGATTATCCTTCTTGAGTGACAGGTAAACAGGGCCTCATTGGAGCTGAACTGCTCCAAAGTGAACCATTGCAACAGAAATTCAGAATCAAATTAACCCTCTGTTGATGTGGGTGATAAACTAGCCAGCCTGGCTAGGTC